TTAACTTCCTCTAACCAAATGGCCCCTGTCAGCACTGAAATTTGGCTGTCATAAACAGAATGTTTTGTAAGGCTCACTCTAATTAACTTCGGCTGTAAACCTCATTTGGTTATCAGTGTCAAGCACCCTTATATACCACCGTGTTCTTTGAAGCCAGTCCAACATTCTGGTTAATCTCCTGTTCCGAGCACTGTGTCAGTGGTCATTCTGTTTTTTGTTTTGTTTTGTTTTATGAATTCCCAGCTCCATGATCTCAGCAGTTCTTTCTCCAAGGGCCACAGAGGAGATGGACATGCTAAAGAATCCTATATCGTCAGCCTGTCTGCCTGGACTGACAATATCAATGACTATCAAACTAGAGAATTGGATTTTTTGTTTAAATCAACAGTGTTTGGTGCCTGGAAAATTTGTGTACATAAGGAGTAAATAACTGCATTGGAATACATACTTATGCAAAAATCCACTTATTATGATGAATTTCAGCCATTTTTTGTTGCATCTAATTTGACAATTTGAAGTTTCTATCCCACAGCCTTTTTAGTGAACAGCACATACTTCTCACTGATGTAATATTATATGACTGGTTTAATGGTATTTCATTGTCTCATTAAGAACATTGATTTTGCACATATGTTTTTCTTTTTATTCATTCTTGCAATGGCACTCATTTTGTTATTCATTTCTAGTCCATGACCACCTTCTGTCTTTGTACACGTGTTGTGACGTGGTTTGTTTTTTTGCATTATGCCTTCCCAGGTTTATATAGAAGTGAGACCTTTAGTGTTTTCTATAGCTCAATTTAAACTGGTTGAAGATGATGCTTCTTGATATATTAATCTCAAGAATAGTAGACATTAAAATTTGAAAACGTGGTTCATTTTTTAAAACCCAGGGATATATATTTTAAGGAAGCCAATAAAACTTGTATTGATTTTTTTTTTCACGATTAGCTTTTTTCTTTTGAGTTGAAATATCAACAGAGGTCAGAAGTACAGTGAAAATTAAAAGTGGTAGTGTGTCCCTATTTGGTTGGTCTTGGTTATCTAGAAATGATTTTGTCACTGCTAGTGAGATAAAATGAAGGAAAAATTATTTTACTACATAGATTTTAAAATTAAGTATGAATGTATAACACTACTAAGGACATAGTATAATTTATTATGTACTTATAGCCTATAAATTACAACCTAAATGTATGCATTGGTCAGGGTTATATCACAGAAAAGAACTTGTAGGGTTTGTGTGTATTAAAAGATTATATAGCCAGGCAATGGTGGTGCGGGCTTCTAATCGCAGCACCAGAAGGCAGAAGCAGGGGGATCTCTGAGTTCGACATCAGCCTGGTCTGCAGAGGGAGTTCCAGGACAACCAAGGCTACACAGAGAGAAACCCTATTTCGAAACACACACACACACACACACACACACACACACACACACACACACGGGGGTGGAGGGAGGGAGGGAGGGAGGAACTAAAGTGCTATATTCTTGCTAGTCCAGCCCATGTTATCAAGGAGACACTGAATTCTTGGTCAGGAGCTATGACTACTGGTTTTTCAGGGAATCTTCAGTTCTGTCTTATGAATCTTCAGTTCGACTTGTGAATCAGGATCACCTAGATTATTTAGGATAACGTTTCTTAAGGACTTGGTCAGAAACTCAAATCATTCATACCTTTTCCTCATTGATTTATCGAGACTTGTGTTTGCATACTTGAGGACTTTGGATGACTTTTTAAACTGACCATTACAGAATCTTGGTACCAGCAGTATTTGTGAATCTGTTTTTTTTTTTTTTTTTTTGGCATTACTGTTTAAACATTTACTTAAATACTATATTTTAAAGGTGATGAGCTAGTCTCTGATGGATTAGTTTTTACTGTGAATAACAGGAATGGTACAGGAACACACCATATTTCAAAACATTCATCTATTTTATATTAAATTTAAAGCTTTCTGTTGTGAACTTTTATGTTTTTCTATGGCTTTTCATGTGTGTACATAATGTGCATGTATGTACAGGGATACACATGTTATGACACATGTGCTGTGGCATGCATGTGGAAGGACAGAGCTGGTTATCTCTTTCCACAGTTATGTGACTTTCAGAGATCAATCTCAGTTTATCAGGCTTGACTGGCAAGCATCTCTGTTCTCAGAGCTGTTTCTCTGAGACACAAACATCTCTTTTATTGCTATTTTCTTATTCAAGTTTTCTTTTATCTTTCTTGATTAATCTCCAGTTTCTTTGCATTGACTGAAAACACACAGCACTAAATAGATGTGCTATATGAAATGTTGCCCAGTGCATTTCGTTAGGAAAAAAAAAAAAAGATTATTTACTACTTTTCAGATATTCCTTAATGTCACATTTGTTTTTAATTTCTAATGTTTATTTTTATTACTTTTAATTACATGTATATATGTCTGTATATGGTTATGTGCACATTAATGTAGGTGCCTTCAGACTCCCTAGAGCTGGAGTGATAGGAGTGAAATGCTGGATTTGGGTGATTGGAACCTAACTTGGGTCCTCTGAAAGAGCAGTATGCACTCTTAGCCACTGAACCATTTTTCAAGCCTTACATATTTGTTATTTATCAATAATGTCACTGTATTGCTGATTTTTTACCTGGCACATTATGATTCCCAAACATTTTATTCTGTGCAGCAGATTGTCTTTATAACAAACAGAAACTATTTTCAGACAGTTCCAGAATTTTGGAATGAATACTTCTAATGCAATCCTGAAAATAAATGGTTCACAATGGAAATATTCCTTCTTTACATCTGGGAGAAATACTGTGTTCTGCTAAGGGTTATGGCTCTACGTTACTAAAACAGTGGTTAAAATTGTATAGAATCTTGAAGCCTTGACAGACACTGAAGGTGTTTACAGAGGAAGACTGAAAAATTTTAGCCTAACACCACATGGTATACAGCTCTTTTACAGATAGATACACTTATACATATCCATGTGTAAATATGTGTATTTTAGTAAATTATAATGTTTTGTTGTGTATTAATTGAAATACTACTAAGATATTATATTTAGTTAGAACATAAGCCCTGTCAGTTTAACACTGTACCTTTAGTACATGCCTATATGTTTTAGGTGAATTGTAGACACTGCTATTGAAGTTCCAAACAAGACCTAAGTGGTTCCTGCTATCACAAATGCATTATCTATTTGGAGAGGAATGACATTAAGTTAAAATGTATGCAAAAGTTTTTTAATTGGGTAGAAAAGAAAAGTACTGTGTACATTATAAGAGTAGTGAATCAATTCTGGGAAACCAGGAAAGCCCTTGAGGAAGTCATGTTTACTGAGGCCTGAATCTTGAATACAACAAAAGCTAACAGTTCTGGCTCAGTGCCAGAAACTATTCTCAGTCCTATTTATATATGAATTAATTTCATCCTCATCCAGTGCTGTGATGTAGGCATTATTGATTTCTTCCTCAGTCCTAATTATATGTGAATTTATTTCATCCTTATCACAATGCTATGGACATTATTGTTTTCTTCCTCTTTAAAAGAAACTGGTACTACTAAGATTAGTGAAATTAGTAAATTTCATTTCTAAGGTCATATGGTAATGAATAGTAAAGTTAGCCTTGAGCCTGGGGAAAAATTGTCTGCTTTTAAGCAGTATATTATACGACAGGAGAGAGATAAAAGGCTGAAATGAAGGGGGCTAGGAAAATGGCTGCGTGGAAAAGGTGACAACCTGAGTTTGATCCCTAGAACCCACTTCATGGAAGGAGAGAACTGACTTTTACAAGTTGTTCTCTGGCCTCCAAATGCACACCTGGCATGCTCACACAGGACATGAACTGCTTACACACAGAACATTAAATAAATTCTTTTGAAAAAGGCTATCAAGTTGGCTCAGGAGATAACTCATTTGCCACCAAGCATGACAACCTAAATTTGTTTCATAGGACCCACAGGATGAAAGGAAAACGTTGATTTTTGCCATTGATTCTCTGACATCCATAAGTACACACACACACACACACACACCCCACTAAATAAATCTAATACAAAAGTTCTTTTAAAAGCTTAAGATGAAGATTATTTCAAACATGGGAACCCACGTGTAATTACCCAAAGGATGAGAATGCCCTAAAGCTGATTAAATAAATATATAGTAGAAACTAGGGAAGGAATTCCTTATTCAGATTTATCATCTTATCGCTTGAATCTTAGTGTAAAAATGTGGGAGGAGGATCCTAAGTTAGGTGAAAAGAACAGTTTGTGGAAACCTAATGATGTTGACTGAGAGCTCAATCGCAGTAGATAGAATAAACTGTCTAGCTCTGGAAGCAATTGGAATATAGAAACAGCAGGATTCAGTATGTGGGTTTGAGAAAGAGAAAATGTATAGGTTGTTTTGTTTCTCTTGAGTTTCAAGTGACATTTTTTGTTTGTTTGCTTGGGCTAGAGTCTAGTATGTTACAGGCTGACCTGAACTTGCTATATCCGTAAAGGTGGCCTTAAAAGTCCTTGTTTTCCCTTAGATTTTTCAGTGCTGGAATTCTAGGCATGTGCAGCTACTCTGATTTATGAAGTGCTGGTGATTCAATGCAGGGCTTTGTGCATTCTATGAGTGCATACTACCAACTGAGCTACAAGTCTAGCTGGACAGTGCATTTTATACTGAAGTCAAAGGTGGGCTCTAAACGCCTGCCATTCAAGAGAGCTCCATGATCAAATAAAATGTAGTAGTTTTCCATCATTAGTACTGAGGAGAAAACACAGTATAAAACAAAAACTAATGAAGTATGGATAGAAGATGGTAGTATTTCAGTTTGGTGTGCTAATATACAGAGAAGATTGAGAAGAGTCCAGGTAGAAGTAAGGAAGACTAACCACACATATACATGATGAAAATAAAGAGTGCTTTAAAGTATTGGTCTTGTGTTATATGTTAGTAACTTTAGAGGGATGTATGAAGCATAGTAAATGTAAAGAGAATTTGCTTTGTTCTTCTCAGAAAGACTAGTGGTGGTGGCCGAGCACTGTGAGCGGAGTTTGGAAGACCTGCTTCGGGAAAGGAAGCCTGTGAGGTACTGTGTTATATATGACAAATAAACAAAAGGTGGAAATTGGCAAACAAAGAAGTGCTTAACTAGAAACTGAAGGGCTTTGGTTTCTTTCAGTATTGTATAATGAGAACATTCAGTGTTGGTTACTCTAGGAACTTTAATTCACATGCTTCATAGAAATTCAATGTTAACATTCTGCAAACTACTTAAAAAATTCCTCAATGGAATGTACATATGTGAAACTTTGACATCTTAATTCTAAGAATTTTTCTACTAGCCAAGATGATTTTTCTAAAAGGAACCATAGTAGCTTTCTCAATGTACAATGATAGTCCCAGGTGAACAGGGAATTTTGTTAAGTAAAGACCATGTTGAGAAAGAGGCAGAAGTAGTAATCACAACTTGGGTAGAACTTAATGATAGAGTTTAATTCAATATTGCAGCTACTCAATAAGTTTATGTTTTCTTTACCAGAAATAGTATGTTATCTAATTTTATATTATAAGTACATTATTAATATTTTCATGGATTTACTCAAAATTGTTTTTTAATTTTATTTTATTAATTACACTTTATTCGCTTTGTATCCCCCCATAAGCCCCTCCCTCCTCCCCTCCCAGTCCCTCTGATGTCTTCCTGGAGGAATTTTCCCTTGATGAGTATGAAGTGTCCTTCCCCATCACTTTTGCTTAATTTTGGTTCAAAGTCTATTTTATCAGATATTAGAATGGCTACTCCTGCTTGCTTCTTGGGTCCATTTGCTTTGAAAGCAGTCTCCCAACCTTTACCCTCAGGAAATGTCTATCTTTGTGGCTTAGGTGTGTTTCTTATATGCAACAGATTGCTGGGTTTTGTTTAAGCATCCATTCTGTTAGTCTGTGTCTTTTTATTGGAGAATTGAGTCCATTGATGTTGAGAGAGATTAATGACCAGTGGCTGTTTGATCCTTTGATTTTGATGTTGGCTGTGGTCATAAGGTTGTGTGCTTGGTTGTTTTTTGTTTTTACTGTAGTGAGGTTATTTATTTCCTGTGTTTTCTTGAAAGTAGCTAGTTTTCTTCTGTTGTATTTTCCCTTCTAGTGTCTTCTGTAATGCTGGATTTGTGTGTAGGTATTGTTGAAATTTGTTTTTGTCATTGAATATCTTGTTTTCTCCGTCTATGAGGACTAAGAGTTTTGCTGGATATAGTAGCCTGGGCTGATATCTGTGTTCTCTTAGGGTCTGCATGATATCCGTCCAGGCCCTTCTGCCTTTCATAGTCTCTGTTGAAAAGTCAGGTGTGATTCTAATGGGTTTGCCATTATATGTTACTTGGCCTTTTTCCCTTGCAGCTCTTAGTATTTTTTCTTTGTTCTGTATACTTACTGTTTTGATTATTATGTGGCAGGAGGATTTTCTTTTCTGGTCTAATTTATTGGTTGTTCTGTAGGCCTCTTGTATTCTTATTGGCCTCTCCTTTAAGTTGGGGAAATTTTCTTCAATGATTTTGTTGAAAATATTTTCTGGGCCTTGGAGCAGGGAATCTTCTTTTTCCTCTATTCCTATTATTCTTAGGTTTCATCTTTTTATGTTGCCTAGAATTTCTTGGACGGTCTGTGTCAGGAATTTTTTGGATTTCACATTTTCTTTGACAGATACATCTATTTCTTCCATTGTATCTTCCACACCTGAGATTCTTTCTTCCATCTCTTGTAGTCTATTGGTTATGCTAACCTCTGTAGTTCCTGTTTTTTTCCCTAAGTTCTTTCTCTCCACAGTTTCCTCCATTTGTGTTTCCTTTAATTTTTCCAATTTTATCTTCAGATCTTGAGCCATTTTGTTGATTTCCTTCACCTGTCTGACTGTATTTTCCTGTTTTTCCTTCAATTCCTTCAGCTGTTTGTTTGAACAATCCTGGGTTTCTTTTATTTCATTCAGTGATTTAAGCATTTCCTCTCTAAAGGCCACAAACTGGCTGCAACTTCCTCTATTTTTTTTTACAAATGGCCATAATCTGTTTGAGTTTATCTACCTCTAGTTCTTCATACATTTTATTTGTTTCCTCTGTTATCTTTTTCAAGAGCATAGATGTTAGGTCATCTTCTTGAATTTCAATTATGCTGGGGTGTCCAGGGCTACTTGCCCCTGGATAACTGGGTTCTGGAGATGCCATATTGCTCTGTCTTTTGTTGGTTGAGCTTTTATGCTGGCCTCTACCCATTGGGCTATCTTAGGTGTTTGGAGTTAGTTTCTAGTGGTTCCTGGGATCCTGTGGTGGAGAGAATCCCCTTGGCAGGAAGATGGTTTTTCCTGAAGGATGCCTTCTCAGCTTTTAGGGTATGGTCACTGGATGGCCAGTGTTTTTCAGGAGTTACCGCTGCTCACCTTAGGCATAGAGACCTGAGTGGTAACTGTGGTCCTTGTTAGTCGAGAGGGCTCTCCTCTCACCTGGAGAAGTCCTGAAGACAGCTGCCTTGCTTCTTGATTTCTTGCTGTAAATTTAGTGATCTGCTGCTGTAACCTGTGTGTCCCGTGGTTTGGTCAGTTTTGTTAGGGATAACTGGTTGCCCCTTGGAGCAGTATCTGGGGGTTGATATCAGGGATTCTGGGTTTCTGTAGGTCTGAGGTTGGGGCTCTGTGCCCCAGTACCCAAGCGGTAATCTGTGGTGGGTGGATACCACTCTCCTGGTAACAGCAGGTTATCTGGCGCACAGCAGGTCCCTGGGTTGGGCAGCTCTACAGGCCCTTTTCCAGGGATATACTGGGTTGCCTAAGTCAGTCCCCTTTGCTTCGTTCCCTGTGAGGATTTCTCCCGACAGTGACTCCCAGTCTCTGTTGCCCTGGGGCACACAGCTCTGACTGTGCGGGAAAGCTGGCACACAGCAACTGCCTTGCCTGCGGCTGGAGCCCAGTTCAGTGATGGTGGCTAGTACCTGCTGGTCTGCGAGACTTTTTCCAGGGAAAGACTGGGTGACCCAAGTCAGTACCATTTCCTTCCTTCCCTGTGGGTTTTTCTCGAGACTGGGACTTCCAGTCTCGGGTGTTTTTTGTGCCCACCGATCAGCCTGGGAAGGTGATCAGGACACGCAGGTGTGTGGCTCTGATCTGGGGACCTAGTACCTGCAGAACCCCAGATCTTTTCCGGTTTCTGGCCGGGTAACCTGAGTGTGGACCCGACTGATTCCCAGTCCGTGGGGGCCATAATTAGACAACACTGTCACACAGGCCTATTTCTGTTCTTGACTGGTTCAAACATTCACAGAAAGCATTAATAACTCTTGTTGTTAAACTCAGGCCTAAGTATTTTGTTTTAATATTGTATTTATTGTATTATGATATTGTATTTTATTTTCTTTTTTATTGCTAATATATAACAATATAAGTGAATTTTTTTTCATAATGGTTTTCTTTACACTTTATTTCAATAATGGTTTTCTTTCCTATGGCCCCACTAAACTAAATTCATTGTTAGTTCTTTTTACAGACTCCTTAAGATTTTCTATGTAAGCAGCCATATTATCATTAACTAAACATGTTTACATTCTTGTCTAAAAAATCATTATGGCTCTTTTTTTCTCTTGATCTGTTTTGTAAAATTGGACTTTATATGGATAATTGAATGAAATACTGATGGTCATATTTCATTGATTTCTAATATTAGGGAAGAGTGTTCAATATTTAACTGTTGTGCATAGTATTTGAAAAAATCTTTTTATAGATGCCTTTTATAAGCTTAAAATTTTTACGGCAGAATAAAAGATTTTAGTGTGTGTCTCTGCCAGGATAATAAAATTGTTTAAAAAAATAAAACATTGATGACAAAAATATACTAAATTGAATGGTAGCTTTATTCTCACAGATATATTAGAATACTGTTTTGTTGATTATTTTATGTCAGGATAATTGGGGCATACAGACATAGTGTTAATTCATAAAATGCTGACCTTTACTAAAACAAAACAGTATGTGTTCTTAAAAGGCCCTGAAGTCTTTAAAGAAGAAAGGAATCATGTGGATCTATGTCTTGATTTAATTGGCCAGTAGATCACTGATTGTTAGCTCCTGTTTAGTGCATATTTATCACCTTGTAAATTTACAAAGTGAAGCAAGATAAATTTGAAACATTCTCCAAGTACAGCAAATAAGTTCTGGAGTTTCCTGTTGTCAAACCAGACTGTCTTTTCTACGTACATTTTGATCTTAGCAAATTAATTATTTGTTGAGAAGTAAAGTTACTTGTGTTCAGGTTGGAAAATTGGTTCCCCATTGTTTTTTATTTTAATTTTATTTTTTATATTAATTGAAGTTTATTTGCATTGTATCCCAGCTGTAGTCCCCTCCTTTATTCGCTCCCAATCCCACCCTCCTCTTCTCTTCTCCTCCCAAGCCCCACTCTAAGTCCACTGATAGGGGAGGTCCTCCTCCCCTTCCATCTGACCCTAGCTAATCAGGTCTCATCAGGACTGGCTACATTGTCCTTCTCTGTGGCCTGGCAAGGCTGTTCCCCCCTCAGGGGGAGGTAGTCGAAGAACCAGCACAGAGTTTATGTCAGAGACAGTCTCTGTTCCCCTTACTAGGGAACCCACTTGGATACTGAACTGCCATACATCTGAGCAGGGGTTCTAGGTTATCTCCATGCATGGTCCTTGTTTGGAGTATCAGTCTCAGAAAAGACTCCTGTGCCCTGATATTTTGGTTCTGTTGCTCCCCTTGTGGAGCTCTCCCCCATTGTTTTTATCTCATTGTCGATTTGTAACATTTCAGACTTAACTTCGGTTATTTAAAATAAAAACTGAGTTATAAAATATGTCGAACATAACAACTTAGATACAACTGAGGTATTTTTCATACCTTCTACAAATATTCTTTGTTATTTAATTTGTAAAAGTTTCTTTTCAAAACATGTGACTCTGAGAGAAAATGAGTAGTTTAATTTAGCATAAATACATGAGTTTAGTGGTCAAAAAGTTTTTCTCTTTCAGTTTTAGAAACTTTCCTCTGCAGCTGGAGAAGTGGCTCAGTAGCTAAAAACAGGTACCGAT